CCCCCCCCCCCCCCCCCCAACCCTCCTTCCTCTCTCCCTGAAAAAAAAAAAGATTCTACGGGGAATCTAACCCTGATCTTTGCAATGAACAGAGGCTACTTTCTACCCAATAGAAGCTAACCAACTGAACAGAAAGTAACAAGGGTCGTTGCCTTTGAACTGATTTGAGAAGAAGAAAAACATGGATGTAATAGAGTGTTTCACATGACGTCACGTCCGCCATATTGGTGTCTCAAAACGATAACACGTCGGCCATGTTGGTGTTCTATCCTGGGGAAGTTGAACTTTTTCTAAAGCAAAATAAATGAAGTTGCATAGCTGCTGGCCACGTGAGTAAAAACGCTCTATTAAGCAGTTGTAATACAAAAGCAGTGCTCAACATAAGTGCGATTTTCGTATGACCTTGAAATGAAAACGCGCGAACAAAACAGAAACAACAAACGAACGGAAATGGAGCGATATATAGAGGATATTACACGGTGGCGCGAAGATATGAATTTTGTTTTCGAGTGGCAAAACAGCGAGTGAGTAAAATATTGTTTTTGCCACGAGAAAATAAAATTCATATCTTCAAGCCGCCGTGTAATGTTCTTTTTTATTATATAGACAAAAAGACATCGATAAAATAATAGAGGGAAATGGCCGAAATTACGTCATCGATAAACTCACGTGTGAGATTATGGAAAATAAACCACTCGGGTCCCGGATGTAGTTTTTATGAATTTTACGAGTGGTATATTTTCCAGTAAAACACTCGTGTCTATATAATAAAATTGGTTATCGAACGAATACAAACGAGTACGCTCGGGTGAAAAAAACTTCATGCCCGAAAACTCTCGTAGAAATCAATCGATACTTCGCTTTGACGTCATACTGCAACACGATTGGCCAATCGACCGATGCCTTCTCCGTGTTAGGGTTTTCTATGGCGGGAAAACGAAGAGTACATGTTTTGACTTTATCATCCATTGGCTGATAAAACAAATACCGAACAGTTACTGAAACCATTTTTCAAGGTCATACGACAATCGCTGTAACGAGCAATGACAAGAGTTTATTGCTAAATTTCAGTGTAGTTATTAAGAACAAAGGAGAATTGAATTTCGCTTTCCCTGTCTTAGTAATGCACAGTGCACAGTGAATTTCTGAATTCAGCGTAAGTCGATCGAAAAAGAGACTGTTCATTTGGAGGATTGAAGTTTTTGAGAGGCCATTTTCGAAGGGCTGTTACTTTCGGCGATTCAATGGGACTGTGATAAATAGCTGCATTACTTTTTCCAAAAGCAAATATGTGGAATCAACCTTCCTCTCAGTAATTCAATATCATACTGAGTACTTGTATGTATTATTATCTTATAAGGTACAGCGATGGCGGTGCTCACGAACTGCAGAAAACAAGGCAAGCATTGCATGAGAAAGAAAGAGAGCTTGAAAGACTCAAAGAGAGGTAAAAGAGCAGTCAATGCATTTTGTGGGTCAGATAATTTATTTTGTATATTTTGTTTTTACTCATAAAAAAAATCACCCGCCAAGGCATGCAATTTGCAACACTCTGCACAATATTTCAATCTCTCGTTTATTTGAAACTCACTAGCATAGTGATGTTGTCGCTTGAAACATTGCATAATCGATCTTCATAGCGTTTTTCGGGCTAGGCCATTAGGCTCCGTCCACACGTATCCGGATTCCTACTCTGTTTGTCAGCCAATTTGTAGAACGATCCTCGGCTCATGCAGAAATTTTATCGCCAATCTTCTTCAATAACCGTTTCACTGACAAAATTGTCCCACTAAGCACTATTTCGCTCGTTTTAGTTGTTTACGGCGCCCAATTCGTCCGTCCGTCGATCCGCTGTTTCACATGATTGAAGGGTACAGTAATCACAGTAATTATAGCTAGGTTTAACTGCGCACACGTTATAAGAAGTCCAAGAAGTAAAGAAGAGATAAAATTCGCGTTCTGCACAGGCTTGAATATTCATGGTAAAGAACTGGTTTCGATCTTGTGACGTCACTGGACAAAAAAATATCCGGATTTAGCGTCTATACGATTCCGTATTCATAGCGTGCGGATTCAAAAACTTGCGGATTCGCATGGTGGATGCACCGGATTCAAAAATATCCGGATACGTGTGATATAATTATCATAGAGGGAGTATTACGAAATAGGTAAATCAATGAAGTCTTATCCGCTTATTGTTAAGAAAAATGTGGACAACAACAAAACAGATTAGAGCAATCAGGCAAAAACAAAAAAGCAATTGTCTTCTGAGGGCGAAAAAATATCCCAAAGTCCAGGATTATTTGTAGGATTGATTGCTTTGTTTATTTCAGACATGCTGCAATCTCTGAGAGAAGAGTGAGATCCGATCAAAGAAAATCAGAAAATACCCGGAGCAATAATAGGCAGTCCGAACTTGAAAGTCATTATGTAACTGACTTCAAAGACGGTGCTCGTGTTGATGCGGTGGAGGTTATAACTAACAGAGCCAGGCCTTATGGAACGAAGCCATCTGGAACAGATTATTTGAAGTTTTGCAGACTTGCATGCTTCATTTTTGAGGTAAGAGTTTATTGGTATTACTGATTTGCTGTTACTTTTGTTATGTTTTTTGATTCGTTTGTTAGTTTGATTTTCTTATCACGGTGCTCCTATCTAGCTGTAAGGAAGCCTAAATCAAGGGACAAAAGAACTTACGGAAATTGAAAGTATGTTTTGGGCTTCGTAAATGCGTTAGGAATTGTCTTGATGTACCCGCAAGTACGTGCAAATTGATATCCCTGCCGTGGCACGACAGGTATGAAAGGGTTGGCTTGATCTCCAGCCTTCCTTTGGTTTATGTCAGGGCTCCTGTTTATGTTGTTTTGGAATTTTTAGGAAAGATTAAACGCTTAATAGCGGAGCTGTCGCGCGCGAAGCGTGAGCAGCGGAGTACCATGGGTAAGAAAATGTAGTAATCTACCCATCCGAGAAAATTTGGTATGCACGTGACCGTGCGCCCGACCGTCTGTCTTCACCACAGGCATACCTTCCATCCGCACCACAGGCATACCAATGTTAAATAACTCAATCAACAGATATGGCAGCCCAAATGCAACTCGAGGTTATTTTGGCGGGAAATCGCAAAGCCACCCGCGTCTTGTAAAGCAGATGCAGCTAAAGAGTCAATAAAGACGAAACCGGAAAGCGGAAATTGTTTCTGTATCCGTTTTTTCTAAAGTATTAAGCTTAGATTAATTGTCATATCCACAAATTTGGAATATAGAGCAAGAGAAAGACAGAGAAAAAGAGAAAAACTCAACGAGAAAAAGGGCGACAGAGATCGAGAGGGAGAGATAAAAAACAAAGGACACATTTTTTTGTTGGAAGAACAACATGAAAATTTTGTAGCGGCGGTGACAAAATGAGAATGCAATGAGAAAATGAGCTCAGTGAAAAAAATGTGAACGAGAATACGTACGACATTTCCTCCATAAAAAAAAGTTTCTGGAAGTTTTACGTTGTAGTCGTGCAAAGCAACGGCAAAGAAATGTACAAAAAAAGTGTGATGCACGTGCAAAGTTGCTTTGTTGCTAATTAGACCTTTTGTTGTTTTCCCCGTTCTTCGGCGTTGCCTTCGCCGCTTAGCATTACACGAATTTATATTTTGTTTGAACAAACTATAAATATTATCGAGAGCTTCGCTTTTAGCCCTTGCTAAATCTATATATTAATATATTCTCTAACTGGATAACTGACTAAGCAGCTTATGCTTTGCGCCTCAAATGTCAGCTTCAATAAAACATTTGGCCGTTTTTGGACAGGGGGCAGAGATGTTGTGTTTGACCTGGGATTCCAGTTTATTTTGCGTCACGACTGAGGGAATACTGAATAAACGTAGGGCCGATGGAAGCGTCGTGCGTCGTGCGTTACTGAAGAAAGAGCTATTTATCCTGTCATGTCATCCGATTTGAGCATAAACGAGGTTTAAGACTCCGGGATAAACCTTTTTCTTAAGACGCAAGCTTTCGATTACTTTCAGAATCTTTATCAAGTGATGGAGTATCGGTTTGATGTTGGAACCCGACTTGAGGCTCGGTATCAATATGGGAGGGAGCCTTAGGAGTTCTGGGATCCTGATGAAGCGCAATATATAGTGAGCTTAGAATGGCCGTGAACAAAAAGGATTTGTATGGGAACCCCGGTACTACTAGATAAATACTAACAGAAATTTTCAATAAAATTTCCGTCTTTCGTTATTTACATCGTGTGATCATCTTATGCTTCCTTTGTGGTTTCCTGATCCGATGCCATCTTTGCGATTTTTTACTCTGCACAGACAAGGGTCTTTTTCTGCTACAAGTTTTCAGTACTTAGAGGAACTTTTTGAATTCTGTAATGGCAATAACTTTAAAGCTCAACGTACTTTTCTTAACAACATGTTTTAGACTGCCTACGAGTGTGCTATGAAAGCGAAAACGTCTTTTGAGAAAGTTACGACTGCTGTTCTGGACATCTTATCATCAAACGCTCCTGCAATTGGACTCAACAAAAGCGAATTCCAGAATAAGGTAATATTCTGTAGATTTTGGTCTCTGTTCCAATGCTATATACATAAGGGACGACAAAGTGGTAAAACAAAGGGAAGTCCCAAAAAAAAATTACAAACCATGACATAAATATAACAAACACACTCAAGAAATATGAGTGATGTTTTTTTTAGTCGCTGACACAGGCGACGTCAAAAAAATAAATAAATTGGTAACTAAAATAAATAAGTAGATAAATCAAAATAAAACAAATAACAACAACAACAACCCCCCCCCCCCAAAAAAAGAAAATAAAAAAATAATAATAATAATAATAAAATAGAGTTCTCCTCAGCGAGGAAGACGAATCCGTAAACTTCTTATTCAGTTCATATCGTCGTTATCATACCAATGGAAATCATTCTCCAGTGACTGAATAACTTAGCTTTAGTTAATCTGATAGAAAAGTGGCTTTTTTTCTGTATCTTTTTCTCTGCTACGATACCTAAACGTTTCATAAAGGTATTTATGCACGTCTACATTCTAATTTTTATTTCGTAGTTTCGCTATATGGGCACGCACACTGGAGATGAGAATAAATCACAAGACGCGTTATCTGAGGTCATGGTTCTTGTCAAAGAAGAAGCAAAAACTCATGACCTAAATTCGCTTATAAATGTAAGTTAAATCAATTTATTATTAAATGTTACATTCCTGAAAAGTTTGTTATAACGCTTTGATATAATTTCAACGATCCGCTTTTAAAAAAAAAATATTGCTGACCTACTGGTGGTTAGTCTTTTCTTTAAGACGAGCTGTCTAGATTTAAAAAAAAAACTGTTTTTGCAGTGGAATGGAGATGAATCTTGATTAATAGACTTGGTCAGGAAAAGTAGAAGCCAGAAAGGAAGTGGTTACAGAAAGTGGATAGAAATGAGAGACAGGACGAAGAAACGATACTTATTGGCGGTGGAACGAGGTCCGCATTAATTTAATTATGGCACAGGGAGTAACGACAAAGCTACTTTTAAACGATCACAGTTTATTTCATGGACACTGCGGGCGCACAATATTTCATACAGTGTTAAAAAAAACATAATTCTGGAATTATCTTTTATTTTAATCTATGATCTTTACAAAGTATTAAATCGCTACAATTTGTCGCCACACAACATGAACTAGAAAAAGGAACGTCACAAGAAAGAAAAGATAATAGCGTAATATATTCAACTGATCTGTATTCAAGGTAATTCGGGAATCAAAGTTAGTAAAATGTTTTTTAAAAAAAATTTAATAAACAGTACAGTGAATTACTATCTGTATTTCAAGTATCACTTGCGGTTGCTATTTATCACTTTACTTATTAACAAGGTGACTACATCAGTCTTAGCGCTCTTAATTCCTACTTTTACGTTTCCATAAAGAAATGATTTTCTTCGTCATTACTTAGGTGGTCAAAGAAGTAATTAAGACAAAATGGATACGGGATGATGACACACTTCCTTCTTATAACTACACTGTTATGTACAGCTTGGATGAGTACATAAACTATTGCACAAAATTTGCTTGGTGTATGGTGTCCCGAGTTCCTCCTTTGGAAATTGAATACAAGAACAACGTTTTTAACTCTAGAACGCACGTTCTGAGCCAAGCATTCAGTCTTAGAGGAGAGAATTGGGCGGTCCATCATAGGAGACATCCGAAAGCCCAGCAGACTATTAAATGCTACTTGTGGCCCACCCTACAGGATTGTCAAGGAAAGGTTATAGTAAAAGGAGAGGTGATCTTGAGTAAGAGGTAGCATCTCCGCTGAGCGATGACATCAGTAACTCGAGTCATGTGTATAGTGCTGTCTGTGGTCGGTCATGTAGATAATATAAAGCGTTGCTGAGTGAACGTTAACTTTGGAATGACTGTAATCCGGCAATCATGTTGAAGAAAAGCATTTAATCTCACCAACAATGGGGATTCACATTCCTTTACAATAAGACTTCTCCCTTCGCATATTTTTTTTTTTTGGACTAGTGCACTTCTTCCTTCCCTTTTCTCTGCGCCTCGTATTTGACGGTCTGGTAGCCTGCGAACAGCAGACGCATTTCCGGTCGTCGCTTCTCTCCCTCCGAAAAATAGCGTCTGCGAACCCGAGCGGCAAAACGATTTCCGTGACGTAAAACCTTTTGTTTTGATGTAGGCCAGTCAGATCAAAGGATAGAATACAGCTCGAGTGACTCCTCGCGACCTCGCGCGCTGAAGTGTCTTGGATTTTGGCGAGAATTACCAAAATACGCTTTGGAACGTGAATTTCACGACCATAACAAGGTTTCCTGCGACGTTGAATGGTGACTTCTTTATGAAGCAACGGCTTCTTAAGCTATGTATGTGATGTGGGCCTTTGGTTTCGCTTTATAAAAGACGGTAGTACGTGACATAAACAAAACCTGGACCAAATAATCGCTACAGCGAATGGAAAGCAACATAGCTTAATGACATCGCGCTCAGACTTATTTATTTCAATTTAACCAGCGCTGACAAAAGGTGGTGAATCAATTATACAGACACATCCTTGACTGATTCAGAAATCTCTAACAATCGCTCGTTAATAATTCTAGTATCACCACAACACAATGATCTGAAATATTATAAACCTGGGCCAGACCCAGCGTGAAATAAATAGTTACAGCAGTAAATAGATCATAGTCAAAATGACATTTCAGCTACGACACTTCGACTCATCTCACAAAAAACTACGGAAATGAGAACCTTGAAAAGAACATGTACTCAGAAATATACCGGAACAAATATAAAATGCTTTCGATCTGATCAAAGTTCTATCTGAACCAAGAAGCAACCACGCAAGGAAAATCAATTACCACATGTCCTACCTTTCAAAGATAAAGGATATCTACTAAAAATATCTANTCCGTAGGCAAATAGATGAAAAATGTCCTCTAATCTTTTCTTCGATATGAATCCTCTTGATACTTATTTCGTCAATCAGTCCCACAATCCTGGCAAATTAACTTTCGTAAACGCGTCGTTCTGAGAAAAAAGGACGGCTATACACAAGCCACGTCGTCCTTTCAATTTCGACTTGAAAACATATCCACCGCGCACGATCCTGCGAGAAGTCTCGCGAGTTAGTTCCTTGGTTTTAAGAGCTAAACCGTGATTGGCTAAAAAGGTTTTACGTCACGGAAATCGTTTTGCCGCTCGGGTTCGCAGACGCTATTTTTCGGAGGGAGAGAAGCGACGACCGGAAATGCGTCTGCTGTTCGCAGGCTAACGGTCTGGTGATGCAAAGAAAATTCAATTACTTGTGAATGGAAAATTGATCTTCTAAATTTTACGGGTTGGCTAATTTGTTGAATTAAGCTATAAGATACCGGTAGTTGGCAGCGTAGCGTGACATTTTGAAGGTGCACGCAGGGGAAGAAAAGTTCGCGCGACAAAGGCGCCCCAAACCTGGGGGAGTCTGGCGACATGCTCCCCCCGAGAACATTTTTTAATTTGGGGTCTCGGAAATGCCATCTCCTGCGTTTTCTGCAGGACATTTTCAGTAAATAAAGACGAAGGAAAATACAGTAATTAGTTGTTTATTTTACCCATGATCTCTAGTGTTATTGGTAACGGTACAGACTGTTTACGGCAAAAAAGGGTAAAACAGTGACGCCATCAAGGACCTTACAAGCAAAGGGCGAGATGTGTACCCTACAGACAGGCAAACTCTGTTATTAATAATGCCATCAGTATCAGGTTACGTCCTTGTACTTGTGTATGTGCGGACTTTTAAGAGAGCTCAATCTCTCGTCTGTCATGGTCCTTCGTAAACGAGTTTGCAGTCTCTTCATACCCTCCGCTGAAGCTACGCTCAGCTGTGCATGTTGACACAGGACATTAGTCAAAAAAGTTATGAGTCAGAGCCACATTATACTCTGGGATAGAATTATAGTTGGGGTCAAAAGTCTCAACCAAGGTCTGTGACTTCATTCGGATCCATTTCACTTCACTTAATCAGTAAAAGGATAAAGGCAATCCTAACACAAAAACACCAAAAAATGCGAAATATTTATCCCAATGTAGTGATAAAAACACTTTTAGGAAATTTAAAAAAAATTATATATTTTTCCAGATTTCAGCTGTATGCATAGGCATATCTGCGTACATGCACGCGCCATTACTGGTAGTAGAAATAGCTGATAGGTTTCTGGGCCAAGCTTTATACGGGTAACATTTTGTTGTTGACAAAGAACCGCTGAAGCAAATTTTTTTGTCTTCTTTTGAAGGAAACTTGGATTTTCTTCAATCATAATATAGTTTGACAACTTTTACTCGGCATAGAAGGCCAGCCCTGTGTCTTAATATTTCGACCCCCCCCCCCCCGCGTCCTCTGCCTTTTCAAAAAAAACAAAAATAACGCTCTCAAAAAAAGCACTCCATACCCCCCCGCCCCCCCCCCACCCCGTCATACTCCGTCTCACCCCAATGCCGCCTTCACTCACGTTGTCGCTCACACCCGCCACCCTTCCACGCCACTTGTGTGGCTCCTGCGTACAGCTCGGCTTCCGCTGTCTCTC